TTGTATTTCTTTTTCTCCTGCTCTTGAATTTAAATCTAGCCTTAGACACTTTTCAGCTGTGTGACCTCGGGCAAGCCACCTAACTTATGTCTGCCTCAGTTTCCTTAACTATAAATGAGGATAACAATAGTATCTACTTCACAGTGTTGTTGTGGGCATCAAGTGAGGTAATATGTGTAAAGTGCTTGGCACAGTATCTGGCATATAGCATGTGCTTAAAAAATGCTTGTTTCCTTCTTCCCTTCCCATACAAACCCTGTGCTCTCATATTTCCATACCTTCACTCTCAATGTTTCTTATGCCTTGATGTCCTCTTACTTCTTTTCCTGTTAAGTTACTATTCAGCTTAAATGCTGTCTCTTTCCCCAAAGTCTTCTCTGATTCCCCTAATTGGTCAGGGTCATCTCCCTGGGACCTTAATTTGTTTTCAAACCCTCCAATGTACTTACATATAATTACATGTAATATTATATATCATCTCTACCTGTGTTGGTGGTTTATCTTTAATTAGGATGATAGATTTAGAGCTAGACCTTAAAAGACCCTAGGTTAACCCCCTCATCTTACAAATAAGGAAAATGAGGCCTGGAGAAGTTAAATGCCTTGAAAGTTCATACAAGTAATAAGTCATTAGGTATTATGGGTAAAATAAATAGTGTAAAACACAGCTCTTACATTTGGAAGAATTACATGCCTTCTATTTCAATGCCTTGAAAGTTCATACAAGTAATAAGTCATTAGGTATTATGGGTAAAATAAATAGTGTAAAACACAGCTCTTACATTTGGAAGAATTACAATCTAAGTGGGAAGGAAGTATATGAATATCAAAGCTTTCATACTTACTTTGGTAAGGGTGGACCACAGTTTGAAGATAATATGCCTGAGCCCAGAGATAGAACTAATTTATGATGCCAGGAGCAAAGCTAGTTAAATGTCACCAGCCCCTCCTCCCTCTCCCCATACCATCTCCTCCCAAACACATTTTTGCCTGAAGTTCCTATATACCTCAGGTGCACTTCTGGCTCCCCATCCCTACTGAACCCCTTCGTTGGCATTCTCCATTCTCTAGGCTCGTTACTCTGATCGCTGTCATCACCACTCTTAGAATGGCATTTCTTTTCCTCCTATTCCCTCACTTTTTATAGCATCTCAATTCACAATGGACACATGTAAGCTAAGCTCAAGACCATGCTTACCTCACCCCCACACCCTCTATAACTCCATGGTAGAAGCTCTTAAGGTCTCTCACCAGCCTTTGAGGAGTTTTGCGGCCTGAAAAGCAGGGTGATGTGGTAAATAGAACGTTAGTCTTGGAGTCAGGAAGATATGGGTTCAAGTCTTGTTTTTGATACCCACTAGCTGTGTGAGGTCTTTTGGACCTCAGTTTTCTCATCAATAAAATGGAGATTATAAAACCTGTAGCACCTATCTCACAGGGTTGTCATGAGGATCAAATGAAATGATATACATAAAGTACTCTGCAAACTTTAAGGTATTATGGAAAAGTCAGTGATTATTCTGTGTGTGTGTACATTGGTAATAGAATGGGATAAAATAGGACTGAGAAAGCCCTTTCATGTGATATGAGGAATCTCCCAGCCTGCACAGCAAACTTCAGGATTTCAAAGCTCATAAACTTGGGGACCTTAGAGATCATCCACTTGAGGGGTCTTAACCTTTTCTGTGTCCTGGACCCCTTTGGGAGTCTGGGCGTGCTTTACACAGTGCCTCACACATATTGTTGTTGTTTGTCCTTCATTCTGGAAGAGGACCGTGACATCAAGGAGGTGGTGCCATGACATGCAAGTGAATTGGATTTAAGCGAGGGAGGGCTGTGCAAAGTCACCAGCCTGACTGTCTCCTTCAGAGCCATCTAGGTCCAGTGGCAAGTTATAGATCAGGACAACTGGAGATGGCCCAGGATCCAGTTGGGGACCTTGGCCTTTTTAACTTAAGGTCTTTAACAGGTCTCAGTTTGACTGAGGTACACCCATTCAGTGATTAAGTGTAAATAAGAAATGAGTAAGAGAATGGCCTCATTACTTAGTAAAAAAAAAAAAATCAATCTGGGAGGGGAAGACTTTCAGGTTTTCTGGCCAAAGCATAAACAATTGCTATTTACATTCATTCTGAGCCAATCAGCTCACGCATAGTCAGCATTTCATAAATGCTTGTTGTCTGACAGCACCCTTTCTCAGAATAATGTTTGTTGCCTACATTCATAGTTGAAGAAAATAACAAATTTCAGTTAAAGTTTAGGGAAAATAAAGTGGAATTTTTTTTTCCCATCTAAGTTTCACAGGCCCCCTGAAATCTATCCATGGATCACTTGGTTAAGACTCTCTGATCTAGTCCAAAGCCTTGATTTTGCTGATAAGGGAACTGAGGCCAAGATAAGATGAGTGACTTACTCAAGGTTACACAGACAGTAACAGAGTTGACAGGGAGAACTCAAGACTTCTTTCCTCTGGACCTATTATCTTATAGGTGGTCAGGCCTTTTGTGCCTTCTTCCACTCTCTCAGATAATGTAGGTGGCTGCCAACCATTTGCCAACCAGCCTTGCTCAACCCCCACCCCCCACCCCCACTTATCTCCTTTGCAAGTTCCATATTTCTCATTCACAGTTGGAAGGGAGATCAGAAGCTTTCTACTCCAGCTCATACCTGAGTAAGAATTCTATATACACATACCTGAGAAGTGTTCCTTCTGCCTTTGCATGAAGACTGTTAATGAGGGGGTCCCACTATACACCACCATCCCATTCCACTTTTGGATAGTTCTGATCATGAGGTAGTTTTTCCTTAAGCCAATCCTAAATTCACACCTTCTTCCTCTTTCAGGCAAAGTTCTACCATTAGCGATCCTTTCCATTCTGTAGATTAATTTGTACATCAGGACATTTTTACAAACACCTTTTCTGAAGCCAAACACATGCCTTCCTAAGACAACTACAGGCAGACAGTTTCTCATCAGCTAAATGGCAGACCATTTTTCGTCTGGCTGAAAGTTGGCAGAAAGCTTCTTCTGTTCCCCACCCCACCCCACCCCCACTCCTGTGCACAAATGGGTTTATGGTTTCAAGGTGTGAATTGGTTCCACCAAGCAGCATAATTACAAGCAAGGTCAGCATTAGTTTTTCACAATCTAATTAAGCCAACTTGGCACCTAAGCAACAGACAGCTAACTACCTTTCTCCTCTTACCTTTCCAGCTTGGTGTATGCTGGGCAAATTACTTTATTAGGTTAAGTCATATAGCTCAGAGACTTGGCTTTGGTAAGCTGTTTAAAAATCTCTCTCCTTCCGTAATAGTTGTGTTTAGGGTTTGGGCAAATAAAATTTAGAAGAAGGGATTTGAACAAAGCCCTTCACAAAGTTTCTCCTACTGTTTTTGTGGAAAAGCCAGGGAGACATGGGCCAGCTGGTAGTTTGATTTGGTAGATTTGGAAATGGTGTAATGGCCATATTCAAAGATAGTCATTAAGGGTTCAATGTCAACATGGAAGAAGGTCTTTGGTGCTCCGAGGATTTGAGTTTGGCCCGGAGTTGTCTAACATTTTCATTGATGGCTTGCCTAAAAGGCCAAAGGACTTGCTTATCAAGTTTGCAGATAACACAAAGCTGGGCAGGGTAGCTAACACATTTGATGATAGAGTCAGGGTCCAAAAAGATTATGTTAGGCTAGAACATTGAGCCAAATCTAAAAAGATTTAAACTAATAGAAATCAATGCAAAGTCTTACACTGGAGGTTTTTTTTTTTAATCAAGTTGGGAGATAGATCATCTAAAAACAATCTTGGGGTCTCAGTGGACTGCAACATGAGCTAACAGTGAGATACAGGAGCTCAAAAAGCTAACTTTTTGGGGACTAAGAGAGGAATAAGGGTTGGTAAGAGTATGACAGTGACAGTTGAATTGTCCTCTGTCCTGCTCAGGCTACATCTGCAGTACTGTATTCACTTTTGGGGGTACCATATTTAGGAGGGATATTGAAAAGCAGGAAATCTTTTAGAGGAGTTCAAAAAGGACCTTTTAGAGGAGTTCAAAAAGGCTTATCAGATGCCTTCAAATTATGCCATATAAGAATCAGTTGGGGAAACTGAGGATGGTTAGCCTGGAGAAGAGAAAATTAAGTGGACTATACTTTGAGGGAAGGGATTCTGAGATGTGAGTACATGGGCTTGGGGTATGACTTGATTATTGCATTCTTAATCTTTTAAGTGATATTTTATTTTTCCCAATTATATGTAGAGGCAATTTTTAACATTCTTTCTTAAAAATGTTGAGTTTCAAATTTTCTCCCTCCCTCTCTCACCTCCCCTCTCCCTGAGATGGTAAGCAATTTGATATAGGTTATATATGTGCAGCCATGTAAAACATTTCCACCTTAGTCATGTTGTAAAGGAAGAAAGAGACCAAAAGAAAAAAAACCATGAAAAACATTGCATTATTAATTTGATAAATATAATAATAACCAGGCTGAGGTATAGGATAACACTTTCACATATACTATTTGAGTCATTCCTCATAATAACCCTGTGAGGTAGAGATTTAACAGATGAAGAAACTGAGGTTCAGAGAGTTTAAGTAAGTCATCCAGGGTCACACAGTAAGTGACAGAAGTGAGACACAGAGTCAGGGTCCTTCCCACTCCTCCTATTACTTTTGAAATAATTTTCATAGAGTGTGTTAAGTTATGGATTTTCTTCTCAGGAGTTTTATCACTCTCTAACGTTCTATCTTAACTCAGGATCTGGTATTTGTCATCCTTTTCTGATTCCCTCCAACTCCAAATCTGTTGAGGCCTTTAAGAACTTCATCCTGCACTTTCTCAGTTTTTGTGTCTGTTGGCTGAGATATGTACTCTTGTTGCCTTCAGGCACTTTAGGGAGTTTCCTAAGATTATTGATGAGGGATCTGTGAACCCAACTCTATCAGCCGTACAAAGCCTCTGAGCCCCTAATTGATGAGTTTGTCTCTTGTCTGTTATCCCTGCAGAAAGATCAGAAGTACTGGGGTTGGCAACCATACTTACGTTCCCTAAGTAAGCCAGATAGCCAGAATGAACAGCAGATTCGTCCAGGCTATTCAGCCAAGAGGTACCTCTTCAGCCTCTTTCAAAATTGGACTTCGGGCACTTTGTACAAGCTCCAATGTTCAGGTCAGTGATGAGATTGGTGAGTGAGGGGAGTTTGGATAAACCTAACCCAAATATCCCAGGGTTGTTGTTGTGATTTAGTCTTTTCATTCATGTCTTGTGACCCCATTTGGTGTTTTCTTGGGCAAAGATGTTGGAGTGGTTTGTCATTTCCTTCTCTGGCTTTATTTTACAGATAAGGAAACTGAGGCAAACAGGGTTAAGTGATTTGCAAACAGGGTCAAGTGGTCGTACAGCTAGTCAGTGCCTGAGGCCAGATTCGAACTCAGGAAAATGAGTCTGCCTGACTCCAGGCTTGGTGCTGTATGCACTATGGTGCCACCTAGCTGCCCCTAATGTCCTGCTAAAGCACAAGTGGAGTTGAAGGATCTGGGTTCAAATCCCACCTCTTCCACTTAACCATCCTTGGTGACTTTAGGCATGCCATTGAACTCCTCTAGATTTCAACTTCCTCATCTGAAAATGATCAAGGTGGCCTAGCTGATCTCTACAGTCTTTACCATACCTGATCCTATGACCCCTGTATCTCCCATTAAAGCTGAAGGAAACAAAATTACTGTCCCTATCTAAAGTATGCAGTCAATTTTGCTTTAAATTAGGGGTACCTAACCAGTAGATCACAATCTGCCAACTCCCCCAAAAAGTCTTTGAGTCCATTGTCTACCAGCTGCCCAGGGAAACACAACTGCCATTGGCACCCTCCTCCGTCCAGCTCCACCACATTGCTGGGCTTTACAGCCATCATTCCTCACAACCCACTTGGGAACTTCCTTACCAGCAGCCTCTCTCCCGGCTCTGGGGTAATCTCAAAGCTTCACAGAAGTAAGAAGTCACTTCTCTCCCCTTATAAGAAAAGGTTGGAGATCTGTGCTATACAGGCTGGCAATTCTCCAGTGGAAATGGCTCCAAAGTGAGATGGAAACCCTGGAAGAAGTCTCATTCTTATTGCAAAATAATAATAATAATAATAATAATAATAAATGAAGAAGAGAAGGTGATGGGGGTGAGGGGATGGGAGTGTGACATTTGCTATGAGTAAGGGGCAGTGTGTGGGGGGGGTTATCCTTTCCCTCCTTTGGTACAAACTATTGGCAAGCAGCCAAGATCGCACTTTACCAGTTTACCTCAGCACTAACCATGCAACTTCCCTCTAGTGCTCAAAAATCACCTGGAGAATAACTTTTCTCTCACCTTGTAGGCTTATATTTGAGTGAAAAGAGGGCAGCTGCCTTCCCAAGGGAACTAGAAGCCAGGGGTTGCAACCATGGGGTTGATTATATTTAAGTTCCAGACCCTGGGTTCCAGGCAGTTGCATTTATTTAACCTTCATGAAATGTTCATAGATAATGTTAACATGTGGTTTTCTAAGTTGATTTGCTACCTTCGAGTGTTTTTATTTGAGTGTGACACCATTGGTCTAGAATCTCCCATAGAAAGCAAAGATAGTTTCAGTTTGCCAAAGAAGGCCCAATTGGACCTTCTCTGTCTTTGCAATTCACTGAGATGTTAGGGATGACCAGGACCAGATTTCTCTCTCACAGTCTGTAATCTCACAGTCAATCTGATCAGGATTCCTCTAATCATCCCTCCCACCCACTTTAGTGTCCGAATGGTTACCCCAGCCAGATAACTGATATGCTCCATTATTTCAGGGTATATCAGGGACCCTAGGTTGTTCCAGGACAATCAGCTTTACTTGCCAAATCACCTCAGGAGGCAACAGGATCTCTCAGCCGTACCATCAAAATACCATCTCCTGCCTGTTTACCCTTCAGTCTCTCCTTTCTGGACTCAGAAAGAACAACTGGCTGATGAAGGTTTGTGGTGAACTTAGGGCTAGTTTTTTCTTTAAATGTATTTGGGCCCTTAATTTCTTCTAATGGCATTTCCCAAAATATAGCCAAAGAATCTGGGGCCTTAGTTTACTCATTTGTGAAATTAATTACCTCTAATATTCTTGCCAGTTCTAACAATCTATGACTCTGCCACTTGTGGTGTGGCAGAATGGTGAGTTAAATGTTTCAGAAACTGCTATTGGGGAGTGACTTTGAAGGATAGAATAAGTCAAGAGTTGAGGCATGGAAGCTATCATAAGGGGAAAGAAAGTCCAAGGGCAGGTACTATAGTATCTCTGGGAAGAAGGAATAAAAGAGTCTAGAGTATCATAAATATTAATTGTGGAGAATGCCAGAAAAAATAAGCATTAATTGTGGGGAATGCTGGAAAGGGGAACTTTAAGTATAAAATCAGAAAGGAAAAGCATTTAATTTGCTTATTTTACAAACTTTAAGAGAAAAAGCCCATTAATCATCTTCTCATTAAAATTTGCTGAGATGCCAAAGACTGGGATGGATGGAGAGGATATCGTGGAAGAGATGACAGAGATTAGCTCCTACCGTTCATCATGAGTTGTCCATGGTCTACCTCAGCTGGTTAAGTGAAGGAACTTAGACGAGATCTAGTCTTGACTTTTAGGCAAGTGTGGTTTCTGCCACTAACAACAGTGCCTCTTTGTAGAGATGCTGGCCCATAGCATTCTACAAAAATAGTCTAGAATCATAGGATTAGAAAAATCTCAGAAACCAGGTAGGTCAGTTAGTTAGATAATATCTGGAGAATTGGCAACCAGTTCTGGGGGCTCAATTTTAGGAAGGGTCTGGACAAGGTGAAGTACATCCCCAGAGGAGGGTGACTAGGATGATGAGATATACACCATGCCAAGTCACATGAAGATCATTTGAAAAGAACTGGGAATGTTTAGCCTGGAGAAGTGAAGATATAATACCTGTCTTCAAGTATTTGAAGGACTATTGCTGAGAAGAGAGATTAGAATTGTTCTGCTTACCCATAGAAAACAAAAAAAGAAATGATGGAGGAAATTGCAAAGAGGCAAATTAGGGATCACTGTAAGGAAAAACTTCCTAACTAATTTTTGTTGCTCAGTCTTTTCAGTCACGCCCATAGTTCACGTCCAACTCTTTGTGACTCCGTTGGGTTTTCTTAGGAAAGATACTGGAATGGTTTGTCATTTCCTTCTGCAGCTCATTTTACAGATGAGAAAACTGAGGCAAACAGGGTAAAGTGGCTTGTCCAGGGTCATACAGCTATTAGGTGTTTGAGGTCAGATTTGAACTCAGGTCTTCCTGACTCCAGGCCCAGCACTCTAGCAATTAGAGTTGTCCCAAAAATGGAATCAGCTGCTTTGAAAGGTAGTGAATTCCTCTTCAGTGGAGGTCATCAAGTGGAAACTTGTTTTAAATTTCATACAGGTAATTTTGGACCAGGATGAGTTGAGTTAGATAATTCTCAGAATCCCATCCAGTGCTATGAGGGGGTTAGAATGTCCTCCTTTTCACAGGACACACTTTTAAGTTTAATCAACATTGTTAACATTTTTTCCATCACTTTCTTAAGTCTAAAAAAAAATCAACAAAACAATATATGAAGCCCTAACTTGTATTATTTGCTTGATTTCTGAAGTGTGGTTGCTCACATTGAAAATTTAACTATTAGCTCTCAAAAGCTGGTCCTCCAGCTGGCTTCAGTGTACCAATGATCCTCCCATCTTTAAGATTCTGAGATCTAAATCAGTGGTGTCAAACTCAAATAGAAACAGAACCACTAATCCATACATAAGGATCTCTGCTGGCCATATGTTGCCTCACTTTAAAAAATATAGTGTTTTTTATGTAGTATTATATTTTTATTTATTTTTTAAGTGTTTCCCAATTATATTTTAATCTGGTTGGGGGCTGGGGGTACCTGCCTACTTATAGGCCACATGTTTGACACCTCTGATCTAGTGCATCACTTAATTTCTACTTTGTCTTGAATTTCTGGGAACACAGTAAGGAATCCATTTGTAAGAAATTTCAGTAGGAGATAGCTTTTCTTTGTATCACTAATAAATAGCCCCAAAAGAATGCTACTATTTAGTATTAGAACATAATTGATGTGGGTTACTAATTGATCTTACCTTTTCATGAATAGGAAAAATCTTTTGTTCTTTCATTCTTAATTCCCTTTAAATAAAGAGCTTCCTGCCTTCTGCAGTGATGATTTCATTGGCCGTTTCTATAGAATCACAGGGTACCCCAATGGCCCATCGCCACTCCTTAAGGAAGGAACACACAATGTATTTTCCCATCATTTTAACCCTAAGCAGAGAGGAGCCATTATGACTTGCCTAACTATTGTAACAGGCCAAGGGGGATAAAGAGGCCAGGAAGGAAAGAGAGGTATAGTTCATCTCAGCTCCCAGTTTATGTGCTCCAACACATCACTTGTACCTAATTGGAAGGCAGAGCCCCAAGAACCAACAAGCAGTTCACCTCAGTTCCCCTCTCCTTCCACTCAGGCTTTGCAGACATTTTTTGGATCCTTTTTTTTCATGATGTAGTGATGCAAGGCCTTGTCTTTTGTTTTCAACATCCTGGGTCAGCCAGTTGCAATTAAGCACAAGCCAATGAAACAGGTGGTGATATTTACTCAGAAAAATCCAGGTTTCCCCGAAGACAGATTGGGCTATTTATTCAGCCACACCTGTAGCATTCTGCCATTGAACAGAACTCTCTCCCTAGTCTCATTTGGAAGAAAATTGAATGAGGTGAGGGGTCATTTGGTCAGCATTCTACCTCCTCTGTGCACTCAAAAGAGAATAGTTTGGGTCCAAGCTTTTTACCCAGGCAAGCTCTGGGAGATCTGGCTCAGTATCAGGAGATGTATTCAAAGGATCCAGTATAACCAGGTTAATTCAGAGATCACTGTCAGAGTTTGGGTCCTAAAAACAACCCCATCTTCCCAGAGTCTTTTCAGACTAAAATGAAATGGAAAAGCATTTATTAAGTACTTACTAGGTGCCAAGCACTGTGCTAAGTACTAGAAATACAAATAAATACAGTCCCTGCTCTCAAGGAGCTTACATTCTTATGGGGGAGTCAAACACAAAAAGCACATGGTGGACAAGGAGAGACACTTTGGTCTGGAAAGTTACTGGAATGGTAATAGGAGCCTAGAGGAGCAGACTGATACACTCCAACACATCATCGAAGAACAATGGCAAAGTTGATTTAATCATGACTGCAGAACTGGAATGGAGGATGGGGAAGGTCCTCATAAAGTTTACAGCGGAGATGGCTGGAGAATCAGGAGTGAAGTGAAATGATTACCCAGGAACAATGGTCACCAGTCTGGAAAGCGGGCCTCCAGAGGAGAAGATTCTCTGGTCTGCAAAGGTAATACGGGAGATGGCCAGAGAGTTGGGAGTGAAGCAATTGAGAATGATCCAGGCTGTGTCACACTTAACCCAGGTCACACCTTACAGGCTTAGCAGAAAGCCAGACTTGTCTTCCAAAGTGGGAACAGGGCAAGGGTGGGGAATAGGGCCCATACCGATGGAGTCCAGACTGCCAATGAGGATAAGGACAGACAAGGAGGGAGCGCCTGGAGGAGGAGACGGAGTGACATGGGGAAATGAGGGAAGTCATCAGAAAGTCTGCACAGCTACCCCAGCACGGCCTCAGGTCTGAAGACAACCCACACATTGTTTTAAGAATCTGCCCCCTGTGAGTGGAGGTGTTGCTAAAGATTGGCTCCAAACGAGGCAGGTTTGCCAGATTGTTTCATCTATAAATCTACCTTGAGTAAGTGATGAAAATCGCTGCAGGACCCTTTAAACCACTGTTGAAAGATTTGTTAACTGTGCTTCAGTCATCTGTTGACTCAGATCCTTCCTGTGTGTTTTGCAGATTAAAAAAAAAAAAAGGTAACAGGGTAATTCAGAGATTCTATGCAGCTCATAAGATCATCTAATACAGGGGTGGGGAACCTGCAGCCTCGAGGCCACATGTGGCCCTCCAAGTCCTCGAGTGCAGCCGCTGGACTGAATCCAAATTCCCAAAAGATTCTGTGAAGTTTAGATTCAGTCCAAGGGCAGCACTTGAGGACCTAGAGGGCCACATGTGGCCTCGAGGCTGCAGGTCCCCTCCCCCCCATCTAATATAACCCCCTCATTTTATTTATTTTTTTGGTGAGGCAATTAGGGTTAAGTGATTTGCCCAGGGTCACACAGCTAGTAAATTTCAAGTGTCTGAGGCCTGATTTGAACTCAGGTCCTCCTGACTCCAGGGCCAGTGTTCTATCCACTGTGCCACCTAGCTGCCCCCAAACCCCCTCATTTTACACATGAAGAAACTGAGGCCCAGTTAAAATGAAGCGTCTTGTCCAAAATTGCAGAAATTAACAGCAAAGTAGGCATTCAAATCCATCTTCTCTGCTTCCAAATCCAGAAGTCTCTTAACTATGCCGCAGTTGAGGTCCAACAGTGACTAGGTAGTGTAGTGGCTGGAATGCTCAGTTGAGAGTCAAGAGAATGTAAGTTCAAATCCAGCCTCAGACACTTAATAGCCATGTGACCCCGGGCAAGTCACTTAAATTGTCAACCTCAGTTTGCTTATCTGTAAACTAGGGATAATAATAGCACCTACCTCTGAAGATCAAATGAGGTCATATTGATAAAGTAGTTTGCAAATGCTAACTGTTATCATTAGCAATCCATAGTCCCCTTGCAAAAAAAAAAAATAGTAACAGTCAACCCAAGTAGTAGCTTATATCAAACTGAGCTGTCACTGACTATGAGGTAGGGTTGACATTCATCCTGTAGAAAAAGCATAAGAACTGACTGTTGGTAACTTTCTGCGTGACCTCAAATAGGTCTTTTCTCACACTCTAGACTTTGGTCTCTTTCTTGTTTAACAATTCATTCTCTAACCTCCTTCTGCTCTAATACTCCATAGTTGATAATGATGATAATAATAGTAACAATTATAGTAATACTAAAATTAATAGAATAGTAATTAATCAATAGTACTTGTTTAGTAATTTTTCAGTCATGTCCTACTTTTGGGTATCTCGTTTGGGGTTTTCTTACGCAAAGATACTAGAATGGCTTGCCATTTCCTTCTCCAGCTCATTTTACAGAGGAGGAAACTGAGGCAAACTAATAATATAGTAATTAATAATTAATATTACTATACTACCAATGAACTATAATTAGTTAGCTAATTATAGTCATTGGTAGTATAGTAATACTAATAGTAATTGTGCCTAGCACAAAGCAGGTACTTAATAAACTTTTATGGATTGATTGATTAATATGAGAGAGGCACTGTGGAATCTTGAGGGGGAAAGTATTGGAATTGGTGACGGAGGACAAGTTTTCCTACTTAATACTTGGGTGATCATGAGCAAATCTTAACTGCTTTGGTGCTCAGTTTCTACATCTACAAAATGAAGGGTTAAGCTAGATGATCTATGACATTTTCCAGCTCTCATATTCCATGGGGCAGATGATGACAATGATGATAATAATAAAGAAGAAGAAATAACTCACATTTATTAAGTGCTGTAAGATTTATAAAGTACTTTAGTCTCCACAATCCTTTGATGTGGATAAGAAGAGAGGAGAGAGATGGAGACAAGGGCATAGTGGAGGAGAGCCTTTAATGTGAGGATGTTCTATTTACCTTGGATTTGGAAAGTGATGATGGAATGCCAGTTCTGGAACTCAGAGAAGCAGCAAGCTGGCAGCTCTGGGAAACCAGCTTAGCCCAACAGCCTCCACCATGCCCATGTGTTCTGTTTCAGTACTGATCCACTGTCTGCCTTACAGATACAAGTGACCTTGATAATGAGGAATCTGAAGATAGTGATGTGGAGAAGGAAGATTCCAGAGCTGAAAAACACTGGGAAAAAAAGGTTCCACTCCCTCCACTGAGACAGAAGCCTCCAGGGAGGGCCACTTGGCTGAAAAATGAAGCCTATGCAGAGGTATCATTTTTAATCTCAATTGGGCTATCCTTTATGATTCTTTCTGTCTTCTGATTAAATACTATTCCTCCTAGTTAGGAGGTCCTTGGGGTTTCTGAGTATTTTAGCCCTTCACGTAGTATCAGAAAACTTAACTATGGGAAAATGTGAATTTAACAAGAACCTATAATTAAGGAAGAAATGTGTTATGGCGGAGAGTGTCAAGAGTCAGAGGACCTGAGTCTGAATCTCACCTATGATGCTTACTTTCTGTGTGACCTTGGACAGAGAGTCCACTCAAGCTCCCCAAACTTCAATTTCCTCGTATGTAAAAAGCAGAGTGGGCTGGCTATACAACATCTATGCTCCCTACAGCTATGATCCTATGATTTTGTCAGGGTAAAAATCAATCAATGAATCAAAAAGCACCTACTATCTGTCAGGTACTGTACCAGGTGCTAGTAATTCAAGTACAAAGCATGATACAATCTCTGCTGGTAAGGTACTAAATGGAGGAAACAAAAACATATGAAATATATGCAGTATAAATATAGAGTTAATACACACAACCAAATACAATGTAGTTTGGAAGGAAAGATAGCAGTTGAAAGGATCAGGAAAGACTTCATGCAAAAAAAAAAAAACCCAAAACCAAATGGTACGTGTATTGCATCTTAAAGGAAAAGCAGAACTCTTTGAGGTAGTTGTAAGGAAATACTGCATTCCAGGCATAAAGGATGGTCAATGAAAAAACCTGGAGATGGGAGTTGAGTTGTCTTGTGTGAAGAGAAGGCCAGTTTGGCTATATCACGAAGTATAAGAGGGAGAAAATAATGCCCAGTATGTCTGGAAAGATAGTTTGGAACCTAGCCGTGTAGGGTTTTAAAAGCTAAAGAGAGAAGTTAATAGTTTATCCTAGAAGCAATAGGAAACCACTAGAGTTGATGGAGTTGATTCACATGGTCAGATATGTACTTTAGGAAAATCACTTTGACAGGAATTTTTAGGCTGGGCTGCAGAAGGGAGAGATTTGAGACAGGGGGTCTTAATAGGAAGCTCTCCCAATCATACTAGCAAGAGGTGGCAGGGGTCTGAAAACTCATCTGTAACTTAGGGTGTGGGTATTCATGTGTTCATAAGATCATGGATTTCAGTCTGTAAGGGGCCAGTCTTAGAGAGTTGCAAGAGGTTTAAAATGACTTACCTCCAGTCATATATTAAGTTAGTAGGACATGCTGATAGAAATGCTCCAAGTAATTATTACCAGAACAATTTAGCTTTAAATCACAAATGCTCAGAGGTCAGGCACCATATCTGTTTAAATATTTTGGTCCAACAGATTTACTAATTGATGCTGAATAAATACAGAACAGAAAGTTTGACCAAAGGGGTCTCACTCATGGCCCTGTGCTCTGCCTAGAACATAAAGAAGAGGGGTCTATGTGATCCTTAACTTAAGTCAAGTAACAAAGTCTAGTTGCTAAAAATATACTTTTCAGGATGTTCATGAAAGCATGTTTATAATTATACGTATCTGCTTCCTAGGACACATGGATGGAGCCTCACCAAGGAATACAAGCTTTAAAAAAGAGCCAAGGACACCATGGAAAGTCCCACCCACCTTTAGGGAGTGGCTCTTTGTTTGACGACATTGAAACTCCCCGGTTCCTGAGTCAAAGATCCCATAGTACATTCTACGGAGGCACCTTCCCAGACAGGAAGACATACCTCAGTGGTAAGAAGCACAAGGTTGCTGTCTCTAGATCAGTATGAATCTGATTGCTCTGGAAAAACCGAAAAATACAGAACATACTACTTTGTCTTGACCTCTATTACCTTGGAAAGAAGGTAAAGCTAGGATATGTTTGGGGGGGGGGCATGGAATTCCACCTGGTTCACCAAGAGGCAAACTTGGTACAGTGGAAATACAGGGCTAGACTTGGAATCTGTAAGGACTAGATAAAAATCGCTATTCAGACATCATTCTAGCCACGCAAACTTGGGCAAGTCATTTTTAACCTCTCAGCCTCAGTTTTCTTATCTGCCAAATGGGGACAATACCTATAGTATCTACCTGACTGGGTAGCTGTGAGGCCCATATGAGAGTACCTATTGTTAAGTGTTTTATGCACTTTAAAGTGCTATGTAAATGCCCATTATTATCATCAATTATAAATATTAATAGTTTTAAATTAAATAATAAGTAGAATTAAACTTTATTATTTAATAATGATAATTCAACTATATTTACTATTATAAAATCAAATTACAATTATAGTTAATTTTTATTTATTAGTAATAATGAGTCCTTTTTAGGCAAACATCTCTTTCCTAACCATCCATTCCAGCATTTCTTCCACCCAACAAGAAGTTGAAGCTCATAAAATGTGCTTTGAATCTTCCTGATGTCTGTGGCATCACCCTCTGCCTTTCTTCTAGGGAACAGAAAACTAATATTCCTACTTTTCATTCTATCACCTGTTGTAAACAAGTTTTCATCTATCAGGGAACATGTGGCCTTCTAGGTCCTTGGGTGTAGCCTTTTGACTAAGTCCAAGTTTTACAGAATAAATCTTTTTTATTAAAGGGATTTATTCTGTGAAGTTTGGATTCAGTCAAAGGGCCACATTTGAGGACCTGGAGGGCCACATGTGGCCTTGAGGCCATAGGTTCCCCACTCCTGACTATCTTATCCTTGTCCCTTCTAGGTGGAAATAATCTCTCTTTCCTTGGTACCCCATTGTTTGCATTTTTCATATTCTCTTTTGTATTATAGGTATTTGTGTACCTGGCTTCTCTCCACTGCTACTGGTTGCTCTGTGGGGGCAGGGAACACATCTTGATTTTCTTGTTCCCCAGAGCAAGGAGTACCTGCTTTGTACATAGCAAGTGCTTAATAAATGTTTCTCAAGTGAGTTAATCTTCTTTTATGCATTCACAAGGGAATGTGAAGATCTCCAAAAGCAGACACCAAATGTTTCCAGAACTTCTGATAGAAAGATGTGTTTTACCGCCTGTTCAACCCACCATCAGCCCAGAGCAAAACGTGCCTAGAAAAGTAAAGAAAAAAAAGGTTCGTTTGAATAAGGTTAATCTGGGTTCAGAAATTCAATGAATAAAGTTCTTGTTTTCATGTGATTATAGATGTTGAACTTAAAGAGAACTTGGAAGTCATCTAGTCCAAAGCTGTCATTTTACAGATGATGAAACTGAGGTTCAGAGATGGTATGTAACTTATCCAAGGTCACAGAACTAATATCAGAGGCAGGATATGAATCCAGGTCTTCCTGACTCCAGAGGAGCGTTCTACGCACTGTAATAGCATGGTCAGTCAAAAGAACACTGACTTTGGAATCAGATAGCCTGAGTTTATATCCCGCCTTTGTCACCTATAACCTGCCCTTGGATAAGCCCCTTTACCTCACTCTGCCTCAGTTTTGTCACCTGTAAAATGAGGGCCTTGAACTACATGGCTTCTAAGGTCTCTTCTGGCTCTAAATCTAGGATGAATGGCTAAGGTAGTGATCTCAATAGAGAGAGAATTAGTCTCTCTTAATATTTAATTCAGGGCAGCTCAGTGGCAGGATAAAGTACCAGGCATGGAACCAGGAAGACTCATCTTCCTGAGTTCAAATCTGGCCTCAGACACTTACTAGTTGTGCAAACCTGAGTAAGTCACTGGACCGTGTTTGACTCAGTTTCCTCATCTATAAAATGAACTGCAGAAGGAAATGGCAAACCACTCCAGTATCTTTGCCAAGAAAACCCAAATGGGTTCATGAAGAGTTGGACATGACTGAAAAACAACAACGAAATACTGAATTCACCATTTCACTGAAAAGCATTCTTGGCAGTTTCAAAATGTCTTGATGATCCCCTCAAATTCATTGTCTAGTGGTCATCCTTTTGTGATGAGCCTACTCAGTTAGCCTAATGCTCTAGGAAGTCGCCTAGTTATTCTAGTGATAGCCCAGAACAACCTACTTCTGTACCACAATGACACATCAGTGTAGGACTTCCAGAGAAGAAGTAAATAACTTGACAAGTAGTAAAATTGAAGAAAATTAGACTGATTTTCGATCTATCCCCAAAATAGCCAACATTTTTATAGTTCTTTAAGGTTTGCAACTCATTTGAGCCTCACCACAAACCTTTGAGGTAAGTGCTATTATTATCCCCATTTTACAGATGAAGACATTTAAAGTATACGATACAACTGCTGTCTTAGTAACAGCAATAAAACATCTTTTCAAAAGGACCAGAGGGACTGGTTGGGGAAGGTTAGAGGTCAAGAGGAAAGAGGGAGGATTATTTTGAGGAATGGGGAGGAGACATGGCAATATGTCGTCCACATAAGAACTTGAGCTTGTAGAAATTGACCTTTGTCAAACCTGAGGTCTCTGCTAAATCCTGCCAAATTTAAATCTGAAGTAGTTTTGAGCTCAAGTTGGTGTCATTTTCCAAAATTTAAGGACATATGTTTCTTGTCCAATGAAGATGACTGGAAAAAGACAGCAAATAATCTATGGAGCCAGACATTGCTTCACCTGCTGCTTCACAGCCCTCTCTCTCTGAGTGATGGGTTGGTTAAGGCCTAACCTCATCCTGAGATTCAGTTTCAGCTTTGGTTGATTTAGGGGTGGGGTAGCAATTTGTTTCAGTCTGAAGTGGCCCTGAGAGTCACATCCAAACTGAATAATCCAAGGAAACTCTATAAGCCATATCTACTCCCCCCAACCCTGACCCCCAAGCCCCCTCCCCAGGGCCAGCCCAGAACAGCTCGGGCAATTGGACTTTACAGTAGACTTGGACATGTGACCATGGACAAATGTCTCTGACCTTCAGTTTCTTCATTTGAAAAATGGGGGCAAATATGCCAAAGTAGCCTAGTGAAATAGGGAGAACGAAGCATTGGCACTGGAGTCAGAGAACAAGGGTCGAAAATCTGGCTCTGTGACCTTGGGCAAATCACTTCTAGCTCTCCAGGTATCTGTTTTTTCCTCTGTAAAATGAAGCAATTAGCCCAGATGATCTCTAAGGGCTTTTTCAGCTCTTGATCCTCTGATCCAAACCAGGGAAAGAAGTCATTAGGCAAGAGGAAGAGAAGTACCACCCCTCTTCTATTGCCAAGATTTATGGAATGAAAATTTTCTCATTCAGTATTAAAACTACAAATTCTGCATGTTTTAATTGGTTTGAAGAAGTTAAGGCTGTGATGGACTGTCTCACAAACCCACCCACAGTTCGAGAGAATGGTTTAGATTTCTGCTTGGAGTTCTAAATGCATACTTTGTCAAAGAAATTATGCCAGCTCTATACTTGATGAATACAATTGGTGGCCAGTGAGCACCTGTGTAGTCAATGTCTCCAAAACTATAAAGAACTTATGTGCCTGTGTTTGGCTAATAATTTTCTTAATATTTCACAGTGACAAATACTACCCTACACATTTTAGGTTGAATTACCTTCCTTGTTCAAATTTAACTTCATTAGAAGCTAGCACACATTTATGGTTCTATTTCTTCCACCTCCGCCCCCAACCCGCTTTCCCCCTTTTTTCGAGAATGAAAAAAGTGTATATTTTTCCTCCTGTTAAACCAAGTTCCCTGAAACCTCACATTAAAAACATTTCTGAAGGCAGAGACCATATGTCAAAAATAGCAAACCAAAAAGGAGAAATTTTCAATAACTTCTGAATAATTGAAAACAGAAGGTTTTATTACTATCTCTATTCCACATATTTTTTTAAACAGAAGAAATCTGGGCCAAGCCTGTGACTGGTTTTGACACTCTTGGTTTGTTTTTTCAGCTACGTTCATATTAGAGAAACAGTAAAGCCTGGACACCCTGGCAACAGGGATGTTGGTCTAAACTCTGAAAGAATGGAGAAGAGTTAGCTGCCTAGAAAAAAATAGGCTCAACTGCGTAAGTTCTACTTAAACCTCTTCTGCTAAGCATCCTGACTCGGGACTGGGTGCTGAATCTCACTTTGTCTCAGTTCCCTCATCCACAAGTGAAAGAAAAAAAAAACCATTTCCTCTCAAAAGTGTCCTAAGATCATGAAATCATTCTATCTGCCTGTGCTGAATTAAACAGGGCTTCTTCACTACTCCCATTTTACAGTTAGGCAAACTGAGATAGTGGATGTGAAGGGATATGATTAGAGTTGGAAATTAGGGTGCCTGACTCCCAGATTTGACTTTAGTTCTCTCAGCATCTACCAAAGCTATATTAGAATAGTCATGAAATGATATGAAAGAAAATTATAATATCATTTGTATGTCAGGCATCAGTTTTTGGATACCTACTATATTGGGTTTGGTTTTGTCTATAATTTTCTCATAGATGCCAAAGGCTTTGAAATTACCTGCTATCACAGAAGAACCACCCAAAGCCCAGGATCCCCTGAGGAGTCAGCGTAATGACTATGGCAGCCCAGAAGAGCTGCTCATTCTTCCACTGGAGGTTCATTTATGTGCTGTGCACCAGCCCAAAGAGAGAGGACAAAGAGGAGGTAAGTGTACTGGAGATGGGACAGATGAAAGGAGATAGAAATGATCTGCTTTTAGAGATGACCCAACTAAAATGAACTTTTCATCTTCACAAAATGCATCTAGAGGGATTTAATATTGAGTTACATATATCAGTGCAAATTTTCAGCCCTGTGCCCCAAGGAAAGATTCCTTCTGGTCCTTCTTTAAGCCACTCTATTGTAGCTATTCATTTGCTTTTGGTAACTTATTTGCTTTCTGTTTTTCCTTTAGTCTGGGATCTGCACAATCCCTTTCATGTAATTTTTGTTGTTGTTCAGTCATTTCAGTTGTGTTTGATTCTTTGCGACCCCATTTGCAGTTGTCTTGGCAAAGATACTGGAGCGGTTTGCCATTTCCTTCTCCAGCTCATTTTATGAATGAGGAAACAGAGGCAAACAAGGTGAAGTGACTAAGTGTCTGAGGCCAGATTTGAACTCTGGAGGATGCGTTCTCCTGCCTTCAGGCCTGGCATGCTATCTACTGTACCTCCTAGCCACCCTTTCATATAATAGGTCCTTAGTAAATGTCTCAATGAATGAATCAACTCAGTCAGTTAACCAACCAATAAGATAACTGTCCCTCAGCACTTAACAGCCATTTATCTCCCTTTTAGGAATCAATCATTTAACAAACCTTTATTAAAATAAGTGTAAAGAATTTCACTAGAAACTGTAATTGACTATCATTTCTCTAGAAGGCTTAAATTTCGAGCCATGTAAGGAATCATGAGGTTCATTCATTAAACAAAAACAATATATATACATATATACATATATAAATATATGGCATTATGATAAGCATGGGGATGAAGAGTGTATAGTTTTGTAGGAGGGACAATAGGGACACAGATAATGACATTACTAAACAAAATATGAAAAATACATGAGATGTACTTATGAGATACAATAAGTCATAGGAGAGGGGACAGGTCAGTTCTTGGCTGAAAGGAGTCACAAAAAGTTATCATACAACAGAGGGCAGTTGAGCTGCCCCATGACACAGATGGGGAGACTTTCCAGGCATAGGGAACCGCAAAAAGAAAGAAACAGAGGTGGAAAGGGGGAGCATATTCAGGAGATGGTAAGCTCCAGTTTGTCAGAAACAGGGAGCATAAGACAGGGGACAGTTTGAAAAAGAGCTGGCAAGGTAGGTTAGATCTAAATCCTGCCCAACCTTCAGTGTCTACAGAAGATGTTTGAATTGTATTCAATATGTTATAAGCTGCTGCCAAAGATTTTTGAGCAATGGAATACTATAACCACAGTTCTGATTTAGAAAAATTGGTGTGAAAGGAAACAAGTCTTTATTAAGAAAACTGATATAAAAAGGTAAAAAACATTGACTTAAGTACCTACTATGTGTCAGGAACTATACACTTTACAAATGTCTCGTTTTATAAGATGATATTTATGTTACCCATAAATATTATAAGTAATATTCATTCTCGCAATACTCTGGAAGTAGTTATTATTATTCCCATTTTATAGCTGAGGAAACTGAGGCTGAGAGAAATTAAGTGATTTGCCCAGGGTCACATAGCTAGTAAGTGTCTGAGATTGGATTTGAATTCAAGTGTTCCTGATCTAGGCCCAGTGCACTACTCACTGCACCCCCTAACTGACAACGATCTAACAAATAGACTGGAGAAAGAAGGGCCTGGAAGAAGGGAGAGCAGTGAGAAAGCTAATATTATAATGCAGGCAAAAGGTCCTGAGGATTTGAACTAGAATGGTAGCAGTGGAAATAGTAAGGGAAAGACAAAAGCAAAAGAAATTGGGGAAAGAATTGATTGGATTTAGTTGCAGGGTGAGAGAGAGGGAAAAGAGTCAAAGATGACTTAACTTCATATAATTGACGATGAAAATGGTGACTCCATTAATAGAAAGAGGCAAGTCAGGAAGAAAAATAAGGTTTTTATAAAGGAACATTTTGAATATCAGAGCTGTCCAGCAGACTGCTAGAAGTGCAAATCACGTGTAGAGCCCTGGGAAGAGCTTGTGACTGGCCATAAAGATTTAAACGCTTCATAGTCATGCTCACTGAAATGATATTTAAAGCTATAGAAGTGAATCAACTCACTAAGGAAAGGGGTGTAGAGAAAGAAGAGACAGCTGAAGCCCTTTTCATGGTACCAAAGAAATGGAAATGAAGGTGTCCATCAATTGGAGAATATGAATGTAATGGAATACACAAAGAAAAGACAAAAAAGATGAGAACTGGGAAGACTTATATGAACTGATGCAGAGTAAAGTGAGCAAAACAAGGAGAAAAATTTTATACTCTAACAACAGCATTGTAAAAATGAACAATTTTGGGGGGCGGAGCCAAGATGGCAGAGGGAAAGCAGTGACTTGCTAGAGCTCTCCCCCAAACCCCTCCAAATACCTACCAAAAATGACTCTAAACAAATTCAAAAGCAGCAGAACCCACAAAAAAACAGAGTAAAACAAATTTCCAGCCCAAGACAACCCAGATGGCTGATCGGAAAGATACATCGCGCTAGGCTGGGAGAGGAGCACAGTTCAGCGTGGGCGCACAGGCCACAGCGACCCTGGAGCAGGCCTTGGAGGACTGAATCGCGGGCAGCTGTGGCAGTTCCCATACTTCACAACCCACAAACACCAAAGACAACTTAGAAGGTCAGTGGGAAAAGTCTGTTACTGCAGTGAGAGAAGATGTTAGATCTCAGCCACCCCAAGGGCAGCAGCTGGCTTCTGAGCTTCTGCCCACAGACTGAGGGGGAATCGAGTGGCTGATCAGAGGGGGATTGCAAGGATCTCTTTGCCAGGACTGAGGCAGGAATCTCTTGCTTTCCCAGTGCTTGGATCTGGGTCACAGTTCTGAGGGGCAGTCCTGGGGCAAGGAGGAGCACTGGCGTGGTGGAGCTTGTTGTGGTGGTGGAAAGGAAACACCTCACCCCTTATCATAGCACCTTGGAAGAACTGACACTTTTCAGGTCCCTAGAAGTATTTCTGAAAATAGCTGTACAAACCCCCAAAGCTTGGGACAGTACATTCTCCACATTAGAAACAGACTCTTACCTTAACAAAGAGTTTAAAACTCAAGTAATTGGTTGGGATCATGAACAAGCAGCACAAAAAGAGTCAGACTATATTATCTTACTTTGGTGACAAAGAAGATCAAAACATACAACCAGAAGAAGAAAACAAAATCAAAGCTCCTACATCCAAAACTTCCAAGAAAAATATGAATCCCAAGTCCCAGGCCTTGGAAGGGCTCAAAAGGGATTTTGAGAAGCAAGTAAGAGAAGTAGAGGAAAAACTGGGAAGAGAAATGAGAGTGATGCAAGAAAATCATGAAAAGCAAGTTAACAGCTTGCTAAAGGAGACTTAAAAAAATTATTGAAGAAAATAACACCTTAAAAAATAGCCTAACCCAAATGGCAAAAGAAGTCCAAAAAGCCAATGAGGAGAAGAATGCCCTAAAAAGCAAAATTGGACAAATGGAAAAGGAAGTCCAAAAGCTTACTGAAGAAAATACTTCCTTAAAAATTAGAATAGAGCAATTGGAAGCTAGTGACTTTATGAGAAATCAAGACACTGTAAAACAAATCCAAAAGAATGAAAAATTAGAAAACAATGTGAAATATCTCATTGGAAAAACAACTGACCTGGAAAATAGATCCAGGAGAGAGAATTTAAAAATTATTGGACTATCTGAAAGCCATGATCAAAAAAAGAGCCTAGACATCATCTTTCAAGAAATGATCAAGGAAAACTGCCCTGATATTTTAGAACCAGAGGGCAAAATAGAAATTGAAAGAATCCACCCATCTCCTCCTGAAAGAGATCCCCAAAGGAAAACTCCTAGGAATATTGTAGCCAAATTCCAGAGTTCCCAGGTCAAGCAGCCAGAAAGAAACAATTCAAATGTTGTGGAAACACAATCAGGATAACACAAGATTTAGCTGCTTCTACTTTAAGGGACCGCAGGGCATGAAATATAATATTCCGGAGGGCAAAGGAGATGGGATTACAACCAAGAATCACCTAACCAGCAAAATTGAGTATAATTTTTCAAGGGAAAAAATGGTCATTCAGTGAAATAGAGGGCTTTCAAGCATTCTTGATGAAAAGACCAGAGCTGAATAGAAAATTTGACTTTCCAGTACAAGACTCAAGTGGAAAATGAAGAGGTAAACAGGAAAGAGAAATCATAAGAGACTTATTAAGGTTGAACTGTTTACATTCCTGCATGGAAAGATGATATTTGTAACTCATGAGACCTTTGTCAGTATTAGGGTAGTTGGAGGGGAAAAAATTATATGTATGTATAGATAGATAGATAGATAGATAGATAGATAGATAGATAGATAGATAGATAGATAGATAGAGGGCACAGGGTGAGTTGAAGATGAAGGGGTCATATCTGGAGAATAAAATTAAGGAGTGAGAGAGGATTATACTAGGAGAAGGAGAAAGGGAAAGGTAGAATGGGGTAAATTATCTCACAAAAAAACAGAAAAGGCTCTTACAGTGGAGGGGAACCAGGGGAAGGTGAGAGGAAATGAGTGAATCTTATTCTCATAGGATTTACTTAAGGAGGGTATAACATACAGACTCAATTGGGTATGGAAATCTGTGTTACCCTACAGGAAAATAGGAGGGGAAGGGGACAAGAGAGTAGGGGGATGATAGAGAGGAGAGCAGATTGGGAAAGGGGGTAATCAGAAGCAAATACTTCTGAGGAGGGACAGGGTCAAAAGAAAGAATAGAATAAATAGGGGAGGGCAGGATAGGAATAAGGGAAATAGAGTTAGTTTTTCACAGCATGTCCACTATGGAAGTGTTTTGCATAACTGCACATGTATAACCTACATTGAGTTGCTTGCCTTTTCAATGAGGGTGGGTGGGGAGGGAGGAAGGGATTGGAACCCAAAGTTTTAAAAACACATGTTTAAAAAAAATGTTTTCACATGCAACTGGGAAATAAGAAATACAGGAAATGGGGTACAGAAATC